ATCCTAGACCCTTTGAGTCTTTGCCTCTCACTAAATGCCGCCTCTAACTTCCACATTTATACCTAGTAATCAGGAACAGAATCATATTAATGATTTTGGGCTTGGTCTCCAATAACACAACAGTTGATGATCTTCCTTCCTAGCTGCCCTTCCAAACCTCTGTCTTTTTCTGTTTTCTTGGCTGTATGAGGAAGAACCTGCTGTTTTAGAAAGTGAAGCAAAAGCTGCTCTGAGAGCACTTGGAAGAAATAAATCATCAGAGGTAGACGGGAAACTAACAGAACCTTATCAAGCTACAGAGACCCGATCTGGCGCAAAACCCCAAAAATATATGTGCCTGAGGAATTGTGGTTTTTCCTACATTCCGATTTTTAAGACCTTGAATTCTTTCCACCCCAAATATAAAGTTTTGGTAAAGTCTTATAATTAAATGAATTCAATTCCGTCCTTCCTTTCTTACAGAACCAGGCACCCCCGGGTCTCTACACGAAAACAAGCGATCCTGCTATGAGCCCAAACACTCCTGATGTCTTAGAGATTGAATTCAAGAAGGGTAAGAGCAAAATCAGGGGGGAAAGAATCAGATGTGATTTTCAGATTTTCTGGACTACAGGCACTGTAATTCTCAATTCTGAGCATTCTACCTTGACCTTGTTTTGGGATGACTCCCCCCTCCCCCGCCGCCGCCTTCTTCGCCGCTGGGGCATCCACCCATTTTCACTCACTTAAGATCACACTCCGCTTTCCGTCGGCACAAGACACATAATAACAGAGGCCAACCAAGTTATTTTCATGCACAAGGTAGAACAGCCCTTTAAGCATCTCTCTGAGCGGGCGGCTGGTCCTCCCGATGCCGGTAGATACCCAAGGAATCCAGTCTTGGCTTCAGCACATGCTTTCAGAGTGCTGGCCATGGTGCTGAACCTGTTCTGATCGCTTCTGTAGACCACTTCGGTAAAGTTCCGAACGAAAACCCGGAATGGGTTGACTGACCTTCGCTGAAAAATGCAGCAATTATTATTTAGCAACATACAGATAGCTGATTTTGCATGATGCCAGTTCTTTGGTATCCAAATTAGCTGCCTCATTCTACCTAACAGCATTCTACCCCTTAGCAATCCAGCTTGGGTTGCTGGTCTCTCCTATCTTGCTCCAAAGCGGTTGATCTCCCAGAGAAGCATGGACTTCGCTCCTGAAGGAGACATTTGGGTGGACCCTGGAAAGAACCCATTCGATGTAACATTTTAAAATTAAAACTGCTCCTTTTGCATTAAGGAGAGGATAAGCAACCAGGGGGCAGCTGATCTGGGTCACTTGAGGAGAGGTAAGAAATCTAGCGCAGGGCCTTTTTTGGTGGTGGCCACGAAATTATGGAACACGCTGCCTATGGATGTACGCCAGGCTCCCATCCTCTTGACCTTAGAATCCTAGAATGGTGGGGATGGAAGGGACCTCAAAGGCCATCAAGTCCAACCCCCTCCTCAAGGCAGGAATACAGAACCAAGCCCATCCGATAGATGGTTGTCCCATCTTCTCTTGAAGGCCCCCAGGGTTGGAGCACTCATCAACTCCAATGGCATTTAATTCCATTGTCATACTGCTCTAACAGTTAAGAAGTTTTTTTTTCTGATAGCCTAAATCCGGCCTCCTGTCGCTTGAGCCCGTCGTTATGTGTCCTGTCCAATGGGATGATGGAGAACAGATCCTGCCCCTCATCTGTGGTGCGATCTCTTCCTTCAAAGAATGTGTAATATCTGAGCTTTTTAAGGAGCCCTTCAGAAACGCCCTTCCCCTTAACCATTTTCTCGCAGTGTTAATCTGCTGTTGCGTTTGGGGGAAAGATTTATCTGTGGGTTCTCCCCCCCCTTGTCATTTTTAGGGTTTGGGTGTTTAAACAAAACAAAAGGGGGAAAATGTGTTGTGGGACTAACTGCTATACTTCAATGGTGTGAAACAGATGTATGGGTAGAATACAGAGACTACATGGCAAAATATTCATTAAGAGACAGTGGTATTTGGTTGCATTTCGCACTTTGTAATGATTTATGGCCCCTGCTTGGCAACCAACCAACCAACCAACCAACCAACCAACCAACCAACCAACCAACCAACCAACCAACCAACCAATTTTTCAAGAATCACCTGCCAGAGTGTTAAGCATTTGACTGAGGCAGCCTTTCAACTTTTCCAACGTAGTTCATCATTCGATACGCGCCTCGAATAGATGAGCTAGCGTGCGCTCCAACAAATCAGGCAAATTAGCTAATGGGTAAAATGAAAGTCCGCTCGGGAAGGCGCCCCCTTTTTTCCCCCTGTGATTGCATCCATACAGGACTCCTGGGGTGGTTTGAATCACTCCCTTTTATGTGCCTTTAAAAAAGTGACGGCCAGAGGGGGACCCTCCCTTCTCCATCCTGCAGACACATCCTCGTTTTACCCCCTAGTTAATTTATTTGAAGTTCTAATCTAATTATTAACTATTTTAAAAGGGATAAGCTGCTTTCCCGGACAATGCGTGGTGGTGTGGGGTTTTTTTTCTGCCAGGTGAACCGCGTCCGACAGGCCCGAAAGGAGACGACAGTCCAGAAAAAAGGGGAGTCGCCGGCCCCATTGGCGCGAAAGAGATTTAGGGTTCATTATTGAGGCGGCTTACATTTAATAGTCATTTAGAGCCGCGTTTTATAAACCCCGTCCAGCCTCCCACCGCCCCCTTTTCTCCCTCCCCTCTTCCCGCTCCGACCGAAATAAAACGAAATGAAATATATATAAAGGGGTTTAGAGCGAAGAAGCTGACAAGGGTCCCTTTCCGCCATGCAGCGGGCTATTGTGAGGAAGAGCTAAAAAAGGGGGCTATTGAACCATGATTAGTGACTGATAAAGCCCTATATGGTAATGAGGAAGGCAGATGGAAGGGAGATTAGCCCTCTTTCTCCCTATAGCCACCCTTCTTCTCCTCCTCCTCCTGGGGGTCTACTTCTGGACACGTTTATGGCTCATGTCCCTTCGCCAAAGAGTGAAATAGAATGTGCTTTTCTGTTCGGGGGGCCAACCCGGGCCGTTGCCCCCCCTCTCGAGGTTCCCCCCTTTTGTTCCTTGCACCCCCCCTCTTTCTACCGTCTCTCCTCTTTCCCCCCACCAAAAAAAATTAGGTGTGATGATTAATTCATGGAGCATTTTCTCCTTTGGGGCCTGCAAAGAGACTGGGTCCTATTCACTCCTGCTCGGCCACATGCGTGGGGTTCGCTCCATTATAGGGGCCGTGCGCGGTGTCCCCCGTATGCCTCCGTTTTTTTCCCTCCGTTGCACCCTCCTCCTTTCTCTCTCTTTTGGTCTATTGGCGGGAAGAGGGGGGTGTTGTACATCAGGGCCGACCCCAATGGCTGGTGGAACAGAAGGTGCACAGCCCGAAAAACAATGGGCAGCGTGAAATTCAATTAGCCCAGGGCCACGTTGCAATTTTCCGGCTCCTGGAAAAGAGCAGGAGACGGGAGGGTGGGAAGGGGCTGTTGTGTGTGTGTGGGAGGGGGGGGAACTTTTATTACTCTTTTCCCCCTCTTCCCCCCCTCCACAAAAAAAGCCCTGTCTTTTCTTTCCATTCTTTCCCAGCTCAAATTATGCGAGGTCCCCTCCTCTCCATGTCCCCCCCTTTTATTTTTTTTTTGCAAAAAGAGGCTTAGCCATGCCTTTTTAAGAAGTTATTTAGAGTTCATATCTGTCACCTTTCTTTAACTCGTTGGAGGTGATGTTTTAAAGAGGCGCGGTTGACATTAATAAGGCGATTCGGAGTCTGGTCTCCGAATTACCCCTTCCCACCCTGTCTCTTTGATCCCAGGGCCACTTCTCTCTCTCTCTCTCTCTCTCTCTCTCTGTTCCTTTCCTCCGGCCCCAACAGGTGTCCCCATCGGGGTCCGAAATGTGATGGACGGGACCGGAAGCCACTCTGCCCTCGAGCTCTTCGTTTACCTGAACGAAATCGCGTAAGTCGATCACGGCAGGGACAGAGTTATGAAGACGCTTTCCCGAACCTCATGGTCCTTGTGGCATCAGCTAGGGAGGTTGGCCAGTCTCTGAGTCCAAATCCCAAGTCTGAATTTTTGGTAAAGGTAAAGGTTCCCCTTGACAATTTTTTGTCCAGTTGTGTTTGACTCTAGGGGGCGGTGCTCATCCCCGTTTCCAAGCCATAGAGCCAGCGTTTTTGTCCGAAGACAATCTTCCGTGGTCACATGCCCAGTGCGACTTAGACACGGAACGGTGTTACCTTCCCACCGAAGTGGTCCCTATTTATCTACTTGCATTTGCCTGCTTTCGAACCGCTAGGTTGGCGGGAGCTGGGACAAGCGGCGGGCGCTCACTCCGTTGCGTGGATTCGATCTTACGACTGCTTGGTCTTCTAACCGTGCAGCACAGGCTTCTGCGGTTTAGCCCACAGCGCCACCACGTCCCCGAATTTTTGGTACCAAGGCCCAATCCCTCAAATCTGAGTCCCTATTAAAAATAAGCTTTAGTCGCTCAACGGTTAGGCTGAGGTGCCCCCTAACTAGAAGACGATGCAGAAAACAGTAAGATAACCGGACACTTACTAGGTTCGTGTTAGAAGGGAAGACCGGGTTGGGGGGGGGAACCCTCTGGTCTTTCTCCAGATCATCCCCATAAATCCTTCCTTGCAGATGGTCATCTTTGACAGGCTGAAGTGACGAGATGGGCCTTTGAGTCCGTCCGTCACGGATCCTATGGTTTGCACGGAAATTAAGAAAATGTACCTGTAAGCGGAGTAACAATCTTTTTGAATCTCTCTCTCCCCATCTACAGTGGAAAACATGGTGTTGGGCGCATCGATATTGTGGAGAACCGGTTTATTGGGATGAAGTCCAGAGGTAAGGACGCTTTCCAGCTGCCTCTTCCAGTCAAAAAGGTTCTGATGCGACGCTGCATCACCTTTATGCAAACAGGACCGGAAAACAGCGAACATTATTCCATGAGTGTGGATATTGAAAATGAGGTCTTACTCCTTTTTTAGGGGGGGATTTTAAATAGGCTATCTGGATACATGCAGAAGTGGCAGCGTTTAGATGTTTAGACACACAAGCAAAACAAAGCTGTCAAATTAGAACTGGTTTCAGGGTGAATACCGAAAGTACTAAGGATCCTAAAACAGCCATTCAGACACACTAGCGTGCTATCATGTCAAGGTCAGAAGAATGACGCTCGAACAATTACCTTAGAGCACTATAAAACTTTATAACACCCTTTGGTAGTTTGAATCTGGGGTGGTCCATCAGCGCTGAAGTTTATCTCTTAACGGGTTAATTCCAGTGTGAAGCCGGATAATCTTTTCAATCAAAGTCCATCTGATCTATAACTGCTGGATAGGTTTAGGTCTCTGGCTGCAAAGCCAGAGGTTGGGAGTTCGATTCTTCACTGGGTCTCCTTGAGAGGGGCTGGACTTGATGATCTAGGGGGTCCCCTTTTCCGGCTCTGCCGTTCTAAGACGGTAAATAGCCAGTAGAGATTACTAGTTAGAAATTTTTAAGCAGCCGCCGCTGTCTCTATTTCCCCCTTCCTTTTTTTTATTTTTTAATTTCCCCTTCCCTCCTCATCCACTTTCTCTCCCCCCCTACTTTCTTCCTGGCAATTACAGGGTGATTGAGACGCCGTCAGCCCCTTTGGCTGACACCCCTGTCTTTTTCCTGTAAACACGGAGCGATGAAAATAGACACTTGAAGTGGTTCTGCCTGTCACTTGGAAGGTGTCTCTTGTCTCCTGCGTGGTAAGGCAGGACGAGTGCGGCTGTCACTTGAAAGGCGGTTCGCACTCCGACTGTCAAAAAAACACACACCAGCTTTCTGGACAGAGCTTTCTCCGAGCTTCGGGCTGCTGTCACCGATCAAACAAACATATTATAGAGAAACACAGGCAGACAAGAGGGGGGGGAAATCCACTCCACTCCCCACTTTTCTTTCAGAATAAATTACAAGGTGAATACAGGTAGGGGGAGAGACAGGTGGGTGGAAGGAGGGGAATTAAAGTTCCTACCGACACCTATCTTTTTATCAGCCCAAATTAACTTTAACACCCTCTGAAGAAAAGATCAGACAGTTTAATTGGAATAGATTAGGGTTGCTGCACCGAATATTTCTCTTTCTCCCACCGATATATATATTTTTAAAATGGTTCCACGTTTTTAACCTCTCTCCGAATCCCCTTTGCTATTTCGAGGCTGCGGAAGAAAGTTGTCGGCATCTTCTCCTGGGAGCAGATGTTTGAAAGCCGTCTTGTGTGGATTTACACACAGAGGTGGAAGGATTTTAATGTCTTCCCCCTTAAATAAAGGGCCAACTGCATAGAATCGGATCTGAACCAAGGGACTTCCCGACCTGAGGTCCCCAGGTGTTTTTGGACTACAACGCCCAGAAGTCCTGGCCGGCCCAGCGAGTGGCGAAGGCTTATGGGAGTTGTAGTCCAAGAACGTCTGGAAATCCAAGCTTGGAAAACACCGATCTCAACGCTTCTACCAAATGCCTCTCCTTTCAACCCAGCCAATAGCAACCCTTGAAGTCCTGGAAAAGCATTAAATTGTTTTCTGCGATGTACGAGTCAAATTGATGAAAGTTGGCACTGAAATTCGCACTGAGGACTAGAGGGTTTGTTGGGGGCCGAATTGACAGGCCCCCGAACCAAGGAAGCCGGAAACTCAAGTCCCCTCCATGCTTCGCAGCCTCCCCCCTTTTTTTCCTTCCTCTAGGGGAATAGTGGGAAGGCAGAAAAAGAGGATTTCCCCCCCACCCCACCCGACCCCCATGATTTTGCCCTGCGTGGCTTGTTTAATTACAGGTTTTCAGCCGTAGACCGGTGGGCCTGCGATGGGGAGGGGGGCGGCCGGCTCAGAAACCCTGTCATTTTGCCTCACTGGAGTGCCTCTTCGAAGTGAGGAAACTAGATATTTTCTCCACAAGGTGTGGAGTGGACTGTCTCGGCCCCAGCGGGACTATAATGACAGATGCATTTTACGGCAAGCTGGGACTGAATGGGCTCGGGCCCGCGGCTCCTTCTGTCAGCGAAATCGTCGGGTTTTGTCATTTTCTGACAGTTTGGTCTCATTCATTGTGCTCTCGCTTCTCTCTCTCTCTCTCTCTCTCCCCCTCCCCTGTCCTTCTTCCCCCCGCCTGGTGAAATGCCTAGGTATCTACGAGACCCCAGCGGGGACCCTCCTCCGCCAGGCCCACTTAGACGTCGAGGCCTTCACCATGGACCGCGAAGTCCGGAAAATCAAGCAAGGGCTCGCCGGGAAATTTGCCGAGTTGGTGTACAACGGTAGGTCTCGCAACGCAAGGTTGGCCACGTTAGAGATTTCGAAAAGACCCTGAGAGAGTCAGGAAAACAATTATGTCCTTGTGCAATTCAGTTTGCGCTCTGGATTCAAACCAAACCCCCCTCTCTCTTACTCTCTTTTCTTTCTTTCTTTCTTTCTTTCTTTCTTTCTTTCTTTCTTTCTTTCTTTCTTTCTTTCTTTCTTTCTTTCTTTCTTTCTTTCTTTCTTTCTTTCTTTCTTTCCTTCCT